AGCCCGAGATACCGCATATGCACTAGATGCACACCTAGTGATCGGTCCAAATCTACTTTCTTCATGCCTTTGGTATAAGGACACTTATGAGTTAACTAATAAAATAAGATTTAAAATAATAAATTTTAATACGTATGTACATCCCACTTATGGTTAGTTAGGCCAGTTTACGAGTATATTTTTCTTCAGCAGCCATTCGCCCTGATCCGATGTTTAGATACATTGCATAATGTGTTTGTATTGAGTTTTTTTTTTCACCGACTTCAAAAAAAACATCCTCAATTCGATTGTATTTATTTTTTGTTTGTTACCTTCCGTACCGCCGTCATTACTAAAACCTAATTAGAAAATATTTTTTTTATTTAAAAGAATATACTTACAGATTGGTCCCATAGAAATTTTATCAAAATCAGTTCAGTAGTTTAACTTTAAAACTGGTTTTTCCACAATTGTAAACGGTTTTTTTTTTGTGGCACATAACTTTAACACTTATGATTTTCTCTAAATTTCTAATGACTATAAATTGGTATTGACCTGGGTTTTGACCTCTCGACTTTGTAGCAGTTGAAATGCCCCTAGCGATTGACTTAAACGGGCTAATTATCTCTGTTTCTTTTTTTTTAATATTTTTATAACAAGTAATCAAATAGTAATTTAATTCTGTAATTGAATAAATAAAATTATTTAATAAACTTCAATTTAATTGTTAATTCTTGTTTGTATACAGAACTTTATTTGTCTGACGTGGATATATTGATTTATCTCTAAGAAAGTTCCTTTTCCATCCCAAAAACTACATTTATACCAAATTTATGTTAATTAAGCTCTTAAGGCTCCAAGAATTAATAAACAAATACCCAAACTCACTTTCTCGTTTATAATATTAGTAAAGATATAAATATTTTATTTTTATTTTATTTGATTTCGCTGTGTGTGCCCCAGCATAGAATGGGACACCCCGTCCTTTCCCATGGGCGTCGTAAGAGGCGAAGAAGGGAGGGCAAGCGATAGGCAGCAGCGTCCCTCTTAAAACATCATTAGAAGCCTAACTACGTTTGCCAACCCACCTGCCAAACATGGTAACTATTGGTGAAACTCCCCGTATGGGGAAGGCTTATGTGCAGCAGTGGACAGTTAACGGCTGAAATAAATAATAATAATAAATATTTTATTGTTAATAGTTTCGTAGGCACATATTATATTTTAATGTCATTACTATCAATTTAACTTACGAGTAATTAGATAGAGAAAGCTTGACTAATTTCGTAATCAAATTGTGATCCTTATTTATGAGCGGCCGTGACGCGAGCCTGACTACGCGCCTAGGACGCTCGCGGCTGTAGGATATAAGTTAAAAGGATATAAATATTCCAATTTTCTTAAAATTATTGTCACACATTAACATGTAAATAGTAAATAAATAATGAGTACAATTGCAATAACATTTTTAAAAAAGATTATGTGTTCTACATAGTTTTTTTTTTCTTTTAATATTTTATTTCTCCCTATTATAATAATCACTGAGCTTCAAATAACCATCGTGACTCACTTATTGTAATGCTTAATCAGATTACATATTTCATGAGAACCAAAGCCAGTTCAGTAATATTTTATCGTTGTCGCGATACCGGGCACACGGTTATATCCGTAGCCTCACTTAGTACAAACGAGAAAACTGAGTAAAAAAAATATAAAAGGAGCCGATATAGAACAATCTTGGCGATCTTTACGATTCCCGCGCAAGATCCAAGGACAACCTGCGACGAATGTGTGCATTCCCTATAAGGAATTCAGAATATACTAAGACTTTCCAAGTAGTCTGTTGACAGGTGACTGTCTGTCTTCGATTACCCTTTCAAGTTTACTTTTCGATCACTCCTATTCGTGTGTATCCGATTCGATGGTGGTCGTCTTCGCTCTTGGTGTTCCCCTTATTTCATGAATATTGTATATTATTGTAAACAACTTTATCTTTGCGACAATGTTGCGTGTACAATTTGAATTTTATGATCCATGAAAATTCCTAAAGATATTGCTATTGCCGATAAATATAAATTTGTGTCTACGAAAGTCGTACTGGACTCGCAAAATTCTTGTTCTAAAGTATTTCTCACAGGAAGTTGTGCGGCATTTGGAATCTGTAGAGAGAATCGCGCAAGACAAATCTTTTGTTAAGGAGTCGCTAATGGTTGCACTTTAAGAGCGGCACGTGTCCACAGTCGCGTGCCGCACACTCGCGCTCTGATTTAATCTTAGACACGAATGCGACGTGAGGCGTGCCGCCTCACACTTGATTGTTCGCACAAACTTAAAGATGCCATCTGATTGATGGAGGCCATTACAAAGGTTGGTCAAAAGCAACGTGGATTTTTTACCGGTATGTTATCTTTACATTCTTTTATACTGCTTTAATAAACGTAATGGTTATTTTCGCCTCATTTTGTTCTATTACGATTTAAACTTGATAGTAAATTTAACCAAATTATTATAGTAAATTTATTTATTTGTTTATTAAATAAATTTATCTAAATATTATCATCCATTAGTAGTAGGTACTTTTATATAAAAAACACTATTGTACTTTTTATTAAGGACAGAATTAAAATACTTTTTTTGCATTTTACTATAAGTAAATACGTATATCTAACTTTCCATTACATATCCATTATTTCCATCTTCATTTTTATTTCATACATCTATATTCATTACAAAATATATGAGTTTCAGATATTTTTATTATAAATACAGCAGTTGTTATGTCGCCAACCATAGACTCATGAACTTTTAACATTTTTTTTTTATTTTTTATGATAAACTTAGAGATGTTTAAAAAAGAATACCTGTAGTGTAGACATTCCATTAAAATCAGAGAACTTAATTAACAATTTCCATTTTTCCGATTTGACATTTTAGATTAACTTACAACATCCTGTTTAATTAGATTGAACTAAGTATTATGTGTTATGTTTTTGCCCGCTACTTCGTCGGCATGGATTCCAGGAGAAAAACTAATATAATGGAGCATTTCTAGATGTCTAGTAAGATAAAACATGCACCAGATTTTGAATTAGACCTTCAGGAATGTATCACTGAAAACTGCATCCAGTTTGGTGCAGTAGTTTTTGCATGCTATCGAAACAGACACAAAATTTCTAGCAATTATTGTTTAGAAATCTGTTGACTGTATTTAAGACTCCACTGCCCTACCTTCTTCCTCATGTGTCATCTATCTGGTGCCCCGCCAGCGTATACCGATAGGGAAGATGGCGTTACCATTCCATTTTCATATAATAAACAAAATCTCCATAACTGCTCAACTGATATTAATATTATATTCAAATTGTATTGTAAAATCTTTTTTACATTTGGCAAATTAAAAGATTTAATATACAATGGTACCCCATAGAGTAGCAATTCCTAAATTAGGTTCCGCGGATCCTGGGGGTTCCGTAAGTCACCAGGGTTCCACGAAATTATTTATACAGTAAAACAATTTTATTCTTCTTTGCTATTTGCATATAAAAAATTCTTCACAGTAAAAGTTAAAGGAATCTATAAAGTGTTACTTTTAAAATATTTCTAATTAAAGCTTTTATTCACATTTAAATTACACGGTTTTTGATTTGTAATCATTTGATATGGGTTTCCATAAAATATAAGGTATTTGTTGAGCGTTCCGTTATCTTAAAAGATTAGGAACCCCTGCCATAAAGAGATCTCTTACAGTCTTTTCAACTGTTATTACAGATCTTTTATAATATATTTTTTTAATTCTGTATTGTTTGCTCCAACTTAAAAGTTAGATATATTCTTACATTACATCCCTTTAAGAAAAACGTTAGGGGGCAAACAACGTTTACTGTATCAGTTGTGTATTTGTATATGTACTGGTATGTCGGTATTTCGATTTCCTTATTTCAGCCAAATATTTTCTTATTATGTTTCTATATATTAAAAATACTTACGACAATACTTACTGCTGTCCGAATATGTTCCAGTCCATTGGCCCTTTTGAGACATCTCTTATTCAAATAATTGTTATGTACATTCACTTAACACATGTGAAAACTGTTGTATTTGCATAATGTTCATAGTTTAGCAACATGCTTTTAAAATTGCCTCAATTTCCAACTAAACAAAGTATTTACATAGATTTTCTATTCAATTTATTGGGTGAAATTTGCATTAAGTTATTGGCTATTATGTATTAACTCAAAAAAGAGGTGTAATTAGTTAAAACGAAACTGTCTCTTCTATTTCTACTAAGAAGCAGCAATACTTGTGTTAATAACTCACTTTTATTTTGTGTCATTTATTAACGACTTTCTATCGGGTGGATTTTTTTATCCATACCAAAATTCTGTTCATTAAATATAAAAACAGCGCATTCTTCTACTTATAATGACTACTTGAAAAAAAAAATAGAGTTAAACAGCATTTCTTGTGGTTTGTAGAAAAAGAATATTAGTTGAAATAAAAATTTAGCAGACTCTAATTCATATCATCTCAGATGAATAACAAATAATATATATTATTTCTTGCGAATATAAAATATATAAGGTAGGTAAGGTATTATATTTAAACAGTAGTTGCGAGTCATACCCTCTACGTGATCTTGTTAAAAATACTTTCCTTATTATTTGACTATGTTCTCTACCTTATCTATGTATTCTTATCTTTATTTTACATTCCTTGTTTTTTGTAAACAGAATTGTATTACTCTTGTTGTTACAGTTACAGACTTACAACATTATTCTCTTATTGGGTTTGTACAACTTACAATAAGCAAAATGTGGGCCACATTTCGCTTTTTTATGTAAATATACTATATAATATCTTCATCAATTCTGAGCTATTTTTTTTTTATTTAAAGTGTAAATTTATGCCAGTCGCATATTTTACCTAGCAGAATTTGGATTTTATTTACTTTAATTGATTTTTATAATTATTTTTATTTCTATAACTACTATTTCGGGCATAAAAAATAAAATAAAACAAACTACATATTTCCAGTAATTTATTTTGTTTTGACAATTGAAAATGGGGTAAAATGATTACAACATTTTATTACATTCATATTTGAAATGTAAGGCACTAGTATCTTAATAAAATAAGTTCACTGTTTGATAACACTTTTCATGTCATAATCTACTATTTGTTTAGATTCTTTATTTATATTAGAAATTTATTTCAATAAGTATAACTCAATCCTCAAATATAAATTACGTAAAAAAGAAACTATCCTAGTTAAATAAATTACGATGTCGGGACGGCCGTCAATCCATCGTCTCATGACTTAGGTCGCACGTTCGGTTATCTACTTAAAAGGTACTGAATGTTACTTTTTACCTATCACTATAATTAAAATCAGGCTTACTCTAGTTTAATAAAAATATGGTACAATACGTTATCGAACTTCCTTTTGGATGTCCGACCGTAAAGTGAACGAATGAGCGACGTGATCTTGATAACGACACACGGCCACGGTCCCGGAGACAACACCGGAGATGGGGACAAGCGAACGCTCTCACTCATTTCACACATTCATTATACGATCATACTAAGCACCAAGTTCACCTCATTCATCCATCTGCAGTTGCGCGCGCTCTACTGGTCGTCCCCGTCTCCGTGTCGTATGCTCCCGCTACCCTCGCCCGTACGTAGCGTATGGTGCGGGAGTCTTCCGACACTACCATTAAATAACCGCTATCGCTGTCCTACGTTTCGTTGAAGGTGGACGTATCATCACTCTGGCAAAACGTCGGCCTTACGAGCCGGGACTCGACGGGGGCTTTTTAAACTAATGAATACACTACTATTGCGGACGCTGATCACGTCGACATGCCTTCTAAAACTCAGAAGTGCCTCTGGTGCGCACGAGAGAAACTGGCATCATACACTTTGCAAAGAGCGGAGGGTGCATTAGGTCCGGGAAGAAGTTCGGCAGCTTTGGCAGCCGCACGTCGTCGCTGCCAGCTGCAGGTCCATGCAGCTAGAACGACTAGTTGAGCTGCTAGGAAGGCAGCTGCCGCAAGCATGGCTCCGGCAGCATTTACGCAAGTTACATCAGTTTCTCTGATGTACACGGAATCTTCGGTAACATTCTTGGCTCGTTGTTTGTCAAATCCGAACTTGTCTGTGATTTGAATAGTTTGCACAAGAAGCATATCATCGGTGGGAGCAGCCGGGGTCGAACGCCTCCTTCTGCGTCCATAAGATACCACGGAGCGAAGTTCGTTCGGGCCACCATCACATTGCACTGGTTCGCAAGTTGGCATGCAAGGACTAACCAAGGCACGGAATTGTACAACTTCAGACGAAGGGAACTTGAAAGCGTCGAAGTGCGATAATAATGTCTGGAACAAGACAAGGTACTATAATATCTGGTTACTTCTAATTAATGCGGTCTGGATTTAGTCATATAAACCGGCAATAAACTATTCTTGAGACCTAAAATATAATTTAAAATACCCCACAAATTTTACTCACAAGTTTTATTATTCAAGACATGATTTAATGTTAGAGAATGCAATTACCACAGTTGAATGTGAATAATAGGAGATAACATAAATTATAGTCATAATTTTCTAACCCATTAAAGTTAAATATTGCTTATGATTTGTATTGCCGCATTAAGTTTGATTTCTTACCTTTCCACTCGTCGCTGATTTCAATACAGGTCCCATAATAAAGTCTTCTGTAGGGCAACCATCGCTATCGATAAGAATAATTTCGCTCGAGTCAACTCCGTCCATAGCAACAAGCTCTCGTACAAATATTTCAAACGGCGAGTTTTGATCAATAATCTCAAATCGTAAAGCCTGTAAAAAAGAAAATAAAATTAATAATCTTGAAATTAATACAATTGTACATATTATTAGGCATACATTATATTGCAAATAAGCTTAATATTTACCAATGGATCTCCGACTTCGGCAGAAGTAATTGTATCGTCTCCGCTCCTATCTGTAACACGCATAGCTACATTGGGCGAGTCAACAGTAACCTCCTCTGTTAACCCGGTCTTGATATCACCGTGAATTCCAAGGTCTACTTCATTCGCCACGGTTTTATTGGTTAAGTCATATTGACAAGTTACAGCCAGACCAAGATCAGAGGATGTGACGATTGTGTCATGGTGTTGGATGACAACATCATTCAGATATCTGAAATTAAAAATTAAAAATCAACAACAGGACATTACAAATTATATGAACATTATGCTCTTACTAACTGTATTCGCCCCCTTAAATCAGTACACAAAGTATCCAATATTTAGGATAGGTTAGGATATAACCTACTTTTGTACCAAATTTAAAATCCGTTCAGTAATATTTGCATGAAAGAGTAACAAGCATATTTTTATAAACTTTAGCATTTATTATATTACAATTGAAACACAGTAATTTTTTGTGGCCCTAATATATATTCACATATGCATAATGAAATTGGGATTGAATAAAATGCAAAAAAAGTCTTTTGTTAAACGAGCTTCATATCACGATACATATATATATATGTAATTTGGAAACATACCTGCCAAGACCATTTTGCTTAACATTGCATTCGATGTTGTTGTAACCCATAGGTAACTCGAATTCAAGACTCTGTTTGACATCCACAACACAAGAGTTAGGACTGCCTTTGGCATATATTTTACCATCGAACAACTTGGAAGTTTGAATACGGGCTACCATGTCACCCGCACGACAATCTATAGAAACATTGTAGCACGATGAAAGTTCGAATGTAGCCGCTTCTGGTACTTCTAAATACGGATCCTAAAATGCAATTGTACATATTAACACTTATTTCTGTAGAAATTATAAAAAAATCTAGTAGAAAAAATCATATATATGTATGTAATAATTAATCAACTGACCCGCTCAAATGAGATTAAGGAACAATAAAATAATTCATTCAAATTTGCATTTAATAATATTAGTAAAATCTTTATAATGTCGACTATAAAAAATAATCACAGAATTAAATAACCTGAATATCTGCAAGTGTTGCTCGTGAATGATGGGAGAGTCGACAGACATGATCACCAGTATCGCCATGGTCATAAGAATGACATCTGAAGGGTGAATTCAGGCACAACTCTCGGCACTCTTCAACAGTTTGCACATCTTGATATACTGAATCTACAGTCTTTAGAATTCTACCATTCATCTTCTTAAATTCGCATAGTTTAGTAGGTTCTTCAACGCAGTTGTTTTCCAAGTAATCGGTATCTTAAAATTAGAAGTAATTTTTTTTTTTTACTTTTTATAATACTGTTGAGATACAATGTACGTCAATCTCTGTATTACGGACTCTCTGTATTGACGGATTTTAATAATACGGAGAGTCTCTAGAATCATTGTACAAGAAAGGAGTAATATAAATATTTATTCGCACTGAGAAAACAAAAATATAGTTGCAAAAAAGGTATTCAGGATCGTCACATACAGTACAAAGTAGCACATAACTTGAGAGAAGCGTACATTGGTTACGATTTCTTTCAGTAATTCGTATAAAAACGATATCAAATTGAAATTATAGATTGTATAAACCTTCTTCAATTATACCTATAATTTGTACATATATAAATAAGATCACGTAAGTAAGTACACTCTACGATCGGGCAAATTTCATGAACTTTTTTGAAACAAATCTGAGTTATGTACATATTTAACTTGATAACTAAGCTGTAAGTTTGATTGTTTAATATTTCTATTTTAAAATAAGATACGGCATACCTTCGTTTGGTTGGAATGAATTAGTTCCCGCTAATGTTATGCGGTCCATATTCGACAATACGCATTCTCCAGTCTTGTTATTGTAGTTCGCTGATCTGCAACAATGTATATAAACAATTTAATTTTCTATTCCTAGTACATTTTCTTATTTAAATACAGTACATATAAATAAACATATTTCGTATAAAGCTTCGCTAAATATCTAGATGAATAGTAACCAAACCAGCTCTGTCATTGAGTAAAAATAATTCTTTAAGATTTCAAACATTTTCTAATAGAATTTTATGCTACATTTTAATTAAATTAGATTTTGTTTTGAGCTATTGACAACTACAATTTCACCAACAACTAAAGCGTTTTTATTCGTTCGCTTTATAGCTCTTAATTGGCATCAACAAATAATAATATAACAAATCCTTAGATTCATGTCTGGTGCAATCTAGTTTAAATAGCACAAAATCTAAGCTCATCATCACCCATACAGTTGGACTGTCTTTACTAAATACTAGTTGTATCTGCGACTTTAACTCCGTGATTCAGTATAAAAAGTATCCTATGTTAATTTAGAGTATTGACTATCTTAGTACGGAATTTCTTTTCATTCAGCTATTTAAGCATCATTGAGTAAAAAATATACATTTAACTATCCATCTTTATAAACTTTCACATTTTTAATATTATTACGATTTACTTTTCAATATTCGGAACAAATAATTGTCTCAGATCTTTTGTTCGTAAGTTAGTTATCTAGAAATTAAATATTTAATTTATATTTCATAAACTGTGTCCTGTCACATTATAAATGTACTTACAACTTATTGAACTTTCTTTGTGAAACATTATCAATGATATACTCGACTCAATATGTATTACTTACTCGCTGAATTTTGCATTATTGCTTCGAAAGTAACATAAACGCACCGGAAATTTGAATTGTAATGTAACGCATTTCAAACGATATCGCTTAATTTCTCCATTATATCAATTTTATATACAATTCCACTCACATCAATTCAATTCCATTCCAAAGACTGGTTTAAACTCAGACGCATATATCAATGTTGCCCGCCTATATCTCTTTTCATTTTGTATCGAGTATTGTAATATTTTGCGATTGTATTATTATTTACTACGATCTTTCTTTTTTTTTATGCTAAAATATAAATTACACAAAACTATTGATATGGTGTTATGCCGTAAATCTATACTTATCTGTACTAATATTATAAAGAGGAAATATTTGATTCTTTGACTCAAAAATTACTCAACCGATTTTACAAATCCTTTCACCTATAGAAAGATACATTATCAGCGAGTAACGTACGTTACATATTATTTTCAAAAATTCTATATACTCGTGCGACACCAGGCCGAATTTTTGACTAATATAATATATATTAGTCAAAAATTCGGCCTGGTGTCGCACGTGTGTGTATAAAAAATACAAATATTAGATTTTTATACGTATTTAGAAACATTTTTATTTATCTTATATTGTAAGAATAATCACAGAAAAGGAATGTTAAATAAAACTTACATTAAAAAATTTAAAGCCTTCTATCATAATACAAAAAGTTAATTTTCTTTTATATAACTACGCTATTATATGTATTATTATTTTATGTAATTTTCTTCTCGTAAATAGCGGCTACGATGCTATTACAAGAAAACATTAATTTAAAGTAGCTCTTGACTTTATGATTGCGACTGTCCCGCTACCAGTAGCCGTTGTATTCATTAAAGACTGCGTAAGTTGAGCGAATGCGTCGTCTTCATCGCATAATAATTATATCCAGCTACCTGCAATTTGTTTTGCAGTAATACCTTCCTAGTGTATAAGTGACAAAAAAGTTAGGTTATTGAACGGATGACTGTATTATTCATAATGATCAATCAGATATTAGTAAGTACTTAAATTCTCTATTTATTTACACATTGTGAATCATAATATACCTAATAGAAGTTACATTTAATACTCAAATGCATAAATTTCGTAGTATCGGCTTTGGTGGTCTGACATTAGTGAGCAAAGAATAGGCCATTTATATGGACTATAATTTCTATTACTTGTAATTTAAACCACCTAGATCGCCCGATACCCCTCCAGGCGTATCTAAATGCGATCGAAAACTAATCCTTTGCAATAATTATTATACTTATTTCTGCCGCAGTTTCGAAGTCTGGATAACTATTTCCCACGGTATATAAGATGTTCTGTTTCTATTAGAAAGTGACACTATAAAGCAATTTGTATATTTTAAAGGATGAGAGGAACCAAGTACACATATTCTATCAGTCATTACATCGTGGAAGTAGGAAACGATAGGGCAAACCGCTCCCACTGTGAGTGGCAAAGCTAACTTACTACTTCCCACTGAATATTTGCCAAATGTCGTGACCGACGACGATCGCGATGCGCGCCGCCCGGGGTGCGCCGGGGTTCTCTTTGGCTGCCTCAATGGAGATACAACGATTTGTACCCAACGGTACACGTGTCCAACAAGTCTCAACAACGCGCTTTTAATGTTTTATTTGCAGTTTCGTGTTCTAAAGATTGTTTAAGTTTTGAACAGCCGTGTAAAAGGAACAACTTCAGTTAAAGTTACTTCTTCCTTCGCAACACTATAGTATTTTAAATCAACTCTAAATTAATATAAGACTAACATGGACAATACATATAATTTTTAAAAAGAGTTATCAAAATCGGTACTGAATTAACAAAGATATCGCAATAGGTACGCGAATCCAAAATCTTTCTGTAGTTGTTTAAAAGTAGCTGCTATCATCGCTATGTACCTTAACCTCCTTTAACATACTTGTAGTGCTAAATGTACTAACTGTACTGCATGTAACAACAGTACTGGGAAGTGCATTGTAACTTGATGTACAAATTCATTTATGTATACTGTATGCTGAAAGTACTTTAACTGTTTTTTTTTTATTATTATTATTATGTTATTAGTAACAAACAAAAAATATTTCTAAAAAATTCACTACAAATAAAAAAAGATCTCATAAAACTTTAAAAATAAATTAATGATGAACCACACAATTATACTAATACATATATTTTTAAGCCCTCAAACTAGGACGACCAGTGTTAAGAGAAACCGCACCATAAATACAACGTGGATCATACAATAAATATATGTAACCATTGTGACCTATATTAAATATAATAGCAATACCTATTATTAAATATAATAGGTATTGCAATATTCACTAAAAATAATTCCTCGTTGTTTGCTTCATTAGTGACGCTAACATTAATAATTTTAACCTCAATTAACAAAATGAGGCTTGCGTTTGTAGCATCATCACGCAACAAAATTCGCAGTACAGAGCATTGTATAACTGTTTGCCTACACGATCATGGCTTGAGCACTAAGAGAAATACGTGTGCCGAATGTGAACGTCAGATCCTAGTAGTACACTATTTATGTTAATGATATCAAAAACCGTACAAGGAAATAAACACAATAGGACAGTCGTGTCTTACTACATTAGATGTTGGAAAGTCTGACCGTGCAATTGGCCTTCCTGCTTTGTATATAATGCTCGTTTGTAGAATTGAGAAACAGAACGGTTACAAGGGACCGTGACTTGTCCACTCGAATGATGTCCCGCGAGGCTCGCCATCTAAGGCAGCTCCGGGAGAGCTGATTGATTAAATTATCTAGTCATTAATTACATTAATGACTCAGTGAAAATTTATTTATTTTATTTATTTTTAAGAAAACATACAGCCTCATTCAATCAATATATAGTCAAATTACTTCTATGTTGAAACATAAAGTTTTCACATTTCCGTAATTACAATATCGATCTGTTTTATATATGCAAAATATAATAATAATAATTACAAAGTTATAAAAATACTTGAATTAAACCTGTAAGATAATGGGCTTCGTGTTTATTCATATTTGTGTATTTAGTTATTCCCTCAGCTTAGTTTTTGTGAATATAACAATAAATCACTAACGAAAATAATTTTTCAAAACTTTGTATTTGATAAATAATTCGTCAGTTTACACATGACTTATATTTATGAAAAACACCTCATTATGTACATATAACGCCCGTAATTAAAATAAAAACAAATTACTGTTGTTACTCTGACAAAAACAAGGTTGAAAGTATATTAAGGTAGAAATGAGATTAAGATAAGATATAATAAGATATTAAGTTCACCTAAGTACAATGTGTAATGATACAATATTCTAATCACGAATTCAGTTTATGTCATATTGACACAAACTGTATTGTATGCATCATAAAGGAGTGGAGACGTGACCCGCTATGTCCGTCTTGTTAGTGCAATTGTGATATGCCTGGCTGAGTTGTTCTCGCTAATATAGCAAATAATCCCTGTGCAATTCCATAATGGATTTAAGTATTTAAAAGCACGTAAGAAATACCCATACACATTATGTCTAATAAAAGTTCTTTTACATTTTTGCTAATTAATGTGACTAATCAACGTATTTTATTATTAAGTAAAAATATTTTATGTGATCTTAATTATGCACTGATTAAACCGCAAAGAGATTATAGTGCGATTTTAATTAACAATTAAAAGGTATTCTGTGTAAATTGTGATTAGTACATTTTTTTCTTTATAGCCAGTTACGTGAAATATTTTACGTTAAAAGAAAAAGAATTGCTAATAAAATGATGCCCATAAAGCAAAACAAACATTTAACAAACTTTAAACGTATGGATAGTTGATGTTACTACCTAAAACTTGCCCCTCTGTAACAATTTATTTTTAGAAAGTCAACCTATAAACTAGTGCAAACTGTAAAAAAAAAATTAATAGAGGCAAATATATTTATGCTATCTACTTACATAATTATTTTTAACACATAAATTCGAATTCAATCGCGACAGAATTATTTTAGACATACAGCAGTAAATAGCTCAACTGAATAACGCTTGACTGCAATAGGAGTATCAATAATTGAAATGAATTTCAAATGAAAAGAAATTTTTTTAGCTTGGGACTATCCCAAGCTAAAAATTTTTATTTCAAATAATTTAAAAAAATGTCACCTATTCTGTGTTTCAAAGAGTATCTACATAAAATCGACGTGGAGTAGATTACGTCAGAGATCTGTACGAGTATGTATATATTCACAACAAACTAGATAGTAGATATTATATTATTGTTTATAATTATTATTTAGAAATAAAGATGTCCTGTGTTGTTTCGGTTACTATAAACGCTACTAGGTATTTTTTTTTTATAATAAAGTTGTTGAATTAGTGCTTCCATGGTCACTAAAATAACTGACTTGGTTTTACATGAGCTCTCACAACTTTTTGTAGTAGAACTGCGTTGCGAGCTTGGTATTTTTTTCATTTTATTTTTTGATAGAATCTATGTACGTTATCTATGTCAAGTACTGTTTCTACGTCATTAAATGAAGATGTACCTAAAATATTGCCTAGACCTTTCTTGGATATAAATGCACTTTCATGACAGAGTACTTCCCATTTTCGGTTTACTGGGTAGCAGCAGGTCAAATATTTGTTTACTTAACGTACCTACATATTTATTATGAGTTTGACTGTCGGGAATTTATTATTGTGGTCGGACAATGGTTGTTGCTCGCCACCTGTCGAGTATTGACCTTTGTGAATGCGCTTTAGCACAGATAAACATCGACTATACAGAGAAATTTTCTATAATAAACCACATGACAATAATGTAAGTAAGCTATATAGAAATAAATATTGACATAGAAAATAGTCACAACAGTCCGCCTTTAATATTCTTGAGCATTAATATTCATATTAATGCTTAATGGTACTAATAGCAGCTATTTTAAACGGCTGGGATAGTTGCACACGGGTCGTGTCGGGCCAAGAGAGCTTGCAGGTCATTCATGGCTCACTCCGCCCATAGAAAGCTCTACTTTGAACATTCTTTGCGATACCTTTATTTATCATTCTATAAGAACTTGCTTATCTGTATACAGATTATACAATTTTATAAATTTTATAGCCAAATATTTGCATTGTAATCACGTTTTTGTTTTATATCTATATTAGTTATTTTATTATAATGTTGTCTAGTTGACTATGTTACATATTTTAATATTAACTCGTAGTCTATAAAAAACGAAAAGTGACCAACGATTTAAACAACTCGTGCCACTTCCTCCTGTTGTGGTTTCACATAGAAGCATAAATTTCATATTTATGTTTACAGCTAAAGTGTAAATCTGTTTTACTGATGTATTTTATATCGTTCAGGAAGTCTACACAAGATGTACCTACTAATACATGGATAAATACACACCTTACCTTTTCAATTGACTTTAAAAAATAAGATTCTTAATTCGACTACATTTTTACTTTGTGCATGTATTTTACGCCAATTAAGAACAAATGTTAATTATTGAGACTATGTAGTTCATTCAGTATTATTTTATTAAAATTTAAATCTGTTTTTGTATCGTAACAAAAATTTTTCCCCGGTCTTCAACTATACAGTAATATCTTATCATGTTTGCAATGTAAGTATTTATTGATAGTCCTCAGAAATGCCAACGCATGAGGTACCATAGGTATTACGGTGTATTATGTGTATCCAAGGTGTTGTTCATATTCAAGCCATTATTCTGCTTATTTTCCATTTCAATTATTATAAAATGGTTTACAGTGAAACATAAAATTCTACATGAATAATTAAATATATACTCACTACTGAAATCACAGAGGCAGGGGAATTTAGACGCAGTAATCAACTTTTGATGTTGTAATTCATTCATTGATCATTCGTTAAAGAAAGTATCTAAGCTCATTATATGATTTGTAGCTTAAAAGCCAATAGGAAACTACTATTCAACAATGTTCAATGAATCGTGTAATAAATACCGTAAATAATATAAATTTAACGAACCTGCAAACAAACTCGTTCTCGCCGAGGCAGAGGTCGAGGCACATTTGCCTGGATCCGACGGTGTGTGTCCTCTTGCCTCTCCCTTTGAGATGGTAGCCGCGCACGCGGTCGAAACACCACGCTCGCTCACACGGACGCACGCCCAAACAAGACTTCTGAGCGTATATAGTAAACACCGGAAATTGAGACTTTGTTAATGCACCTGCAAATAAATTATATATAGATATATAATTTGCGCATTGCACATTTAAAAGTGTGATATATAAAATATTATTCGATAAATATCCTTGTAAGAAAACATTCAAGGATAAAAATATTTTAGTATCTACACATTTCATTAATAAATAGATATTATTAATAAATATTTATTTTGTCATGGATATATATATATATATATATATATATATATATATATATATATATATATATATATATATATTGTATTGCGTTCTTTTGTATATTTCAAAATTTAAGACGGAATCGTAATTGACAACTACCATCAATCTTAAATAGAGAATCATTTTTAATGAAATGACAACTTTAGAGTTTGATATACCTATATAGGACAAGAGCGCGCTTCGTAGTACGCTTTAATCCAATGCACTCATTAATATGCTTGTCTTTACTCGTAATTATCTATCCGAATCGACATCTACACAGGAATGCTCGTTCTATTCTATCTTACTATACCCTTTTTTCGTTTTTGCTCAATAAATTTAAAATTGATTTGTTTTTACAGAGGTCATCAACACACAATGGTCATTTATGTTTTATACGTTGCAACATGTTTTGAATCATATTGTGGTTAGGATGAATAGGTATTTTGGAATGTAACTATTATTATAATCATTTAAAAAAAAAATAACTTCAGATTATAATAAAAACTACTGCTACAATATGTTTTTGATATAAAAGTCTAAAAATGATTTATTTCGGACATACTTTTGTTATAAACTTCAATTCATCATCTATAATCCATCTATACGTTATACAAAACATGAAGATTAGAGGTCAAAGCATGTTCTACTAACTCCATAGCCGGTCAAGTTTTCCTTTTCGCGGTGAGAGTAATTTTTTCCCAATAAGGCCTGATGAGTGAGTACATTCATGCCGTTATTGGCATTCAAATGATGTGTTGCAGCAAAAAATCGGAACGCTTCGCGTGTTTGAGCTCACACCTCTATGTCGGACAAACGAGAGTATTGCCGGTATTATTGTGCCACCTGCTATGTGTCCCGGTTATAATATGCGGCTGACTATGCCGTTATTGTGCGTTTTTTACTTGCTTATTTATTAACCTTATTCACAATTTCACAAGCATGTACGATCTCGTTTATAATTGATTAGTATTGAAATAATATAAAAGAGGATAGTTTACAAACAGTTCTGGGCCTAAGATGGTTAACAATATAAAAATAATGTCACGGTAATTTGAAAGCGAACATAACAACGTCACCTCACATGAAAAATTTGGTCATAATGAACGTTCTAGTGATCAAAACATACCTAATCAAAATAAATCTCACTTGTACAAATTGGACAAATTAGAAATAATTTACTGCTATTACTGACTGAGACAGATTATCAAGCGACAAATATTTGTTTCATTATTATTGTTTGTAATTATCGACTTCTTTAATATTTGTTGATACTTTCTTACATAGCGACTTTTCCCTATGTATTATAATATTGTCTATTTTATATAGGGAATTTTTGTTTCTTTTTTTTTCATAAATATTTCAACTTGTTCAACTGGATACCCGCCTGCCAAGCGTGGCAACTACTGGCAAAACTTCCCTTATGGGGAAGGCTTATGTTCAGCAATGGATAGGTAAAGGCTGAAAACTGGCTACCAATGGGCCTAAAATAAAAATTTTATTATTTTTTTTTTATGTCATTGAGGTAACTATCAAGCATACGGACCAAATGATAGTAAGAGGTTACCATAGCCTACAAACACCTGCAATACTAGGAGCATTACTCCTTTAATCAATTCTTGAAAATGCTACTATCTAATCTAAGGTTAAATTAAATGAAGTTATAAGAAAAAATGTAAATTACGATAACTACAAACGATATATTTGTCGGTCCATACCTTATCACTTTTTTCCTTTTATTGAATAGTTAAGTTGTTGAATAAATGATCATTCATATCTAATTTCAAACTAGCTGTAACCCGCGGCTTCTTTCACTTAAATACGTAATTGGTTTGCATATTATTAAAATAATTTTGAAATAAGAATATAATGAAAGAATAGATCTATGTGAATCTGACTCACCTGGCAACTGGTCGGCATCAGAGCTGAAGAGCACACATAGTCCAGTCTCGTAGTTTACGGCGCGACAGGTGTCGTTGGCCTGACACTGCTCAAGGCAGTCGGTCAACATCAGAGTGCCGGGGATGTCGTCAAGTATTTGAGACGGCGCTGAGAACACATACCTGCATGCGACACAGTGACTTATTCAGATGCAGTATGTAACCAATGACCTTTATAATCTAGGCCTGTTGCTATAAACGACAATTCAGCTTTCCTTTTGGTCATTTTAACAAAAAAAATTATTTAGCTTATATTCGTGTAGTTTTGATACTCAAAATATTTGTAACCTTACAATAGTTTTTATGAACAATTTCAGTCTAGAGATGTGAACATTAATACTAATAGCTTACTTCAAAAATATACCTAAATATTTTTTAATTATTATTGAAAATAACATTTTTATTTATATATTGATATAATCTAAAGAAAATGCATATACGCAATTCAGATTCCATTAAAAGAGACAAATTTAATCTTACCCGGTTACCAGTTCAAATCCTATCATCTCCGGATCACATTCTTCTAATGAATTTGCGGGTGCAGATGGAGCTGACACACCACTGGGCGCTGATGGAGGTACTCCTCCTGATGCCGTTTCTGGTGCAGAAGCAGGTTCGACTGGGTCTTCAGGCACAGTTTTAGGAGGCGGTGGTGCTCCAGGATTCTTATAGTCCTGCGGTGCCGCTACTACTGCTGGTTCTGGAGAAGCCGACTCTACAGCGATATTGTCTTGTGGGGGTGCTTCGGCTGCTGACCTTAACGTCCCTTCAAACTTTTTCGCAGCCTCTACTGCATAAGCCACTAGCACTATATTGATTAAAACCCGCATTGTTCCTCCAAAGTGCCGTAGCAACATTTGTTATCTGTAACAAAAGAAAGTGTTGATTAAAAACTTTTACATCAATCTAAGACAGTAATTGCATGGGAAGCTTAGAAATTATCGTGTATAAAACCTGTCAAGTTTATGCACGCAACCATTCATCGATGATAGAGTAAAATCGTCCAATATCTTGTAGCCATATCAAGCCTAGTTCACCGCAATTCACGTTAAGATGCCTTGCATTGATAATTTCTCACATAACAATTTGTGGCCTTTAAACGACAAAATAAATCTGATTGAAGTGAAACGTAAAATATCACTTTATTTATTAGATTTTTTTTTTATTATAGACCAGCAATTGTTTTCTTTTTATTATAAATGAAGTCTACAACTTCTGTGTCCACTTGGGTTGTATTTATACCTAAATTGAATGAGAGAAAATTTCCTCACTATTTTAGGATTCTATAGAATCCTAAAATAGTGAAGAAATTTTCTCTCATTCAAAAAAATATATTTTTTTGTATTAACTTTAATCGATAGCTTTTATCCATTACCTCATAATTTTGAATGCTCTTGTATAACATTAGTATGAATCATGTACATGTGAAGATGAAAGGTGAAACAATTATGATAGCCATCTAAGGGCATTAACTTCATAATTGCTACTATTTATAATTAGCTAGTACAAGCAACTGTAATATATGGCACGCAATTCTCTAAAACCCTCATAGTAGTCGTATTATTACACAATCATAGTTCATGTGTTTATCATTTTAAAAATTCACGGTTCATGTGAATCGTGAGAAAATCTCTATCGACAATTCACATGAAACAATTTGATCTAGCATTACTTTATCATTAGATTTTTGCGATACTAGTGCTTGTTACTTTAAAGCAATAATAAGAAAGGGATACTGTGGCGGTATTTTGTGAATTACAACCGCGATGTTGTGGGAATCATCTCGTTTTTTAGTCGATATCGATAACAATATGCGAATAGATAGTCGGTCGCATTACGTTACGCTCACGTTCTACGTACAATGTCCATAACGGTCTGAAATCTCGTTGCGTCTATTTCGTGCTCAACGGTACTACTTATTCTGATTTATTGTAAAAATGTATTTGCCACGCTTGACGCCGAAATAACAAGTTATGTATTGTTATCGTCAAACGACATCTTGCGATTCTTATTAACTTTTTTATCGTCTTTGTAATGTAACGATATCATTATATTCAAAGTTAAATAGTTTATTATTAGTGAATGGTGTTGACAGTAGATACCTACCATAATTATTGTGAACAAATACATTTTGTGATCATATATCCATGTCAGTTATGATTATTTTTACATTAACAATTACATCATCATCTTCCTACTCTTATCCCATTTATTATTTGGGGTCGGCGTAATGTTTTCCTCTTCCATTCTTCTACATTAACAGTAACAATTGACTAACACAAATAATTTGTAGTTTTATTTCAGAGAGCAATAAGATAGTTGTATTCATTCTTGCTATTAAATACATTAGGTTATGCAATTTATAAAAAAAATACATTAGAAATAACGTAAATTTAAATAATAAAACCAGTACTTAACTATACTAGTCTGTACTATATATAATATTATAAAGAAAAAAATTTGATTATTCGTTTATAATGGATAACTATATAAACTCAAAAAACACTGAACCGATTTTATAAATTCTTTTACCTATGGGAAGTTACATTATCTGCGAGTAATATAGCCATTAAATTATTTTCAAAAATTATATATATCCGTGAGAAGCTGGACCGGATCACTATTAGCTTTTAAAACCAAAACATTAGTTACTTTTTTTTTTTTAGTTTTTCTACCCCATTCCAACATCAATCAATGATTCATCGTCGAAACGTACACCCGAATGAAAATCATTAGTGCTACAAATGTGTGTTTCTTATATTGATTATTATATTTCTTATATTTCTTAGCTTGATTGTTATTGTCACAGTAATTTTAATTAAATAGAAAATGAAAACTTTTCTATACTTTTCAGCGATAATTTACGACATTTTCGAAAAATATCTTATGCAACGCTATTGTCAAAATAATAAGGTGTAAAGTAAAATTTAACCATTCAAGTTCAAATATTAAATAAAGAGGAACTCTCGTCGGCGTTAATGTTGAGAAATCACAGGAGTTCCGAACAAGGTGAAACTCCGACGGTATTCTTCAACGCGCCCTAGGCACAGTCTGACCTACAATTCAGTTGTTATATTAGTTAGATTTATGTGTTTACATGTTGCACGTCGGCTCGATCGATATTGTTTATGGGAATCATAAAATATACAATAATAACAAAATATTAAAAAGAACATAAATTTTAGTCAGTAACTGTAAAAATAGAAACCGTTTGGTGGTACATTTAAAATATCATATTTTAAATGTACCACAAAAACCACTAAAAGATAACGTTTACGTTAATCAAAATGAATATAATCACTCATCTAGGTTTATTCCAAATTATCTAGGTTTATTATTTATTAAAAGAATGTTACCTACGATACTAAAATCGGAGTCAACATTTAAAAAATATTTTCCATTTAACAAATTACTAGTAATTCTTTGATTATATAACGTAAAAACGTTAATGATACACAAGCAATAAAACACTATATGAAAACAACAAAACACAATTCACGTTTTCCTATTTGTAGCTGTTTTTCTTCTACATTTTATTTTATATAATGTTTTCCTTGAACTCGCAACCGTTATTCCGTTTTATTTTACATCTTGGTAATAATACCACCTGTTTCGAGGATCAATCATGTTCATAATACAATCGATATCGATAGATTTATACGGTAATGTTACCTCATCAAAGTAACATGTCGACCCGTATATAAAGGTCGTGTGCCAGAAATCAGTACAACATGCGATAGTGGGTTTCCCTATTGGACGACCGACTAAACTTATTTTGCTATTCAAACCATGTGTATGAACATATAAAAACGAAAGCTGTGATATAAAATATATTGTATAGAAATAGAACATGTTATATATAACATGACAATATGTTACAGAGATATATTTTTATCCTGGACAACTTTGGCACTGATAATATGCCGGCTCGTTGGCCTGAAGCCTCGATCAGATGGGGTCAGCGTATTCAATGAACCGGATGCCTCCAACCTGCTATTTACGTTTCACCATACTAGTATCAGTTGGCACACTATGGATGTCGTCTTCGTTTTCTTATTCACCATTCATATTATAAGGCTTTAAAAGTAAAATATACAATTTTTATATTTTGCCTTATCGTGATTTATATTTAAGACTTGTAACAGAGAAAAAATCAACAAACAAAGAGTTATGTGAGCAAAAATAGATAAGTTAAAAGAAAACACGGTCCTGTAATTAAAATAAGCTGCAATTTATTTAAACGTCTAAAGCTTCTTTTTATCCTTATTCCTATAAAAGGGAAACTTTAAACCACGAGTGTAATGTTTATCCAAAACATCAACTGCTAAGACAGTAATTGATTGATATTACACCTTCATTCTGTGTTAGTCATCAGTTTTATTGCTCTATCTACATAAACGTGGGTCGATGATCTGACACTACGAGGTATTTGATCTATGCTCGTACACACTTACCTACATAATCTCCGTGCGCTTGTCATTATAATATGGGCCTTACGTAAAAGCAACACAACTTATAACGGTATAATAGTAATTACTACTGCCATAAAAAATGGAATTGTACGAGTTTTATGTAACTTATTGCTTATATTTGCATGTGTAATAATAGCGCAAACTTCTATATTGTTTATTTTTCTTGTTAATATAGTATCCATATAATTATACATCGCTGACATACTGACATATGACTGCAAAACTATACTTTTTTTAACGCATAATAATCTACAGTCAGCTCAATTTATAAGAACACTATTGGAACAATCACATTCCTTTAAATGTAACTTTTTCTTTCTCTATTTTTTGTTACTGATTATTCGGTCTACAATGACAATGTTACAATCATAAACTCGTGTCATCAATTCTCTGTTTTGTATAATTGAAAATGATAATTATATATATATATATATATATATATATATATATATATATATATATATATATATATGTAAAATGTAATGTATCTTATAATTAATAATCTAAAGGTACTGAATTCACTAATGCATTAGTTACGTGAAGATTACGGTTTTATGTATAGAATTTACATTGAATGTAATTCCCGTGGCGGTTGGCTAACACCAGTGATTTCTTCCCGCACTGACGAGAGGTAGTCACACTCGACTCGTACGAAGCATGTCTGCGGTCAGACATCAATGTCTTCCATTGTCAAGTCAATAATTTGAATAAAAAGGCGTTAGAATGTATCACCAGTAGTAGTATTTATTTTAATGTGTGCATCTTGTGTATTGGATAAAGTTCAACACTTTATTGCTCCTTTGTATCTATAATAAATACCCTGTTATATAAACCATCAATGTTTATCACGACCCTAGGTGCATTGCGATAAATATTGAACTGCTAGTGACAATGTAGATGCATAACCATTGTGTTCTTAGATCATGATATTTATCGCCATCCTTCTAAGCAATAAATATTGATAATGTAATAGAGGTCTAAGGATACATTACCGAGTTCTATTACAAGTTTCTCTGATTAAAACTACGACATATGTGACACAGTACGTGTGTTCAGTATAGAAATGCGACAGTCTTTATTTATATAAGCACTTTGCTCGTTTTAGCTATTCTTCCCGGACACTAATGCTTTTATCATCTGGGCAGGAGAATTAATACGTTGCATTTGACTGTTTATACCGAGCAGACGGTGTACGAATACGACACACGTTAATACTTAATGAAAGCGATACCAAATGTATTTCTAGTATCTTCTAATCCATATATACAGAGTCGATACCAGAAACAAATATTTTTATATTCGAATTAAATCCAAACTTGTTTATGCTTGTGTATTAAATTTGGTATTGCCACGTGTTTATTACTGACTAGCGGCCTGTCCCTGCTTCGCACA